AAGCTTTGAGAAAAAGATAATTTATTTAGCTTCATTGTATTTTAATAGCAATCCGTGGTAGCAAAAGCCGAATATTTTCAAGAATAGACCACTTTTCCTAGCCAAATCTTCGTGTTTCACTCTATTTGGTCAAGATTAGCATTGATAGGTAGAGAAAAGTACCTAGATTAAAAAATATGTGGGGATTTTCTAATCTCTTTTTTGTTTGCGAGTTACAGTTGCTCAAAGTTTGTGATTTAGCCTCTTCGAAAAATTTTCAGGCAGCACTGGGGAAAGCAAGAGCAACCAAACTATCTCAGTCTCTTTTAAATATCTAGGCAAATTTTTTGTGCTTACTCTTTCTTTGAATAGAGCTTCAGATGCTAAAATAAATTTCAGCTTTTCTTCTTTCTCCTACCCACGTGCCATGTTTATCTCCACTGCAGTGCAGTGCTAGGTGCTGACCACACCTATAATTTATTTTATGGATCAGTGCAGTAATTGGCTAATTGCATTGTTGCACTTTGTCAAAATCTATTATCCTTTTTTCAAATATCAAGTTGCTTATATATATAATATCATGATGGGGGCAGTACAAGTAACACATTATCCCTCAGGTGGATCTCAGCAGGCGAGTCCACGCACCATGGTGCTTCATTTTGTAACATGTTCCTGTCAGCAACAAATAATTGCAAGTCTTTAATCCACCATTTATCCCCATTTGTGAGATCTGAATCATCAGATGTTTCTACAAAATTAAATGAAAATAATACTGCTATTGCATTCCCTTTCATTTGTGCATGTACCACAATTGGCATCATCCTCATTCTTTCCAATACACCTGTCCTTATTTTTTGATTGCTGTGCTAATAAAATATAAAATAAACATAGCCATGTCCACAATGCAATGTCAATACCTCTCTTATTGAATCCTCTGCAAGGCCTATGATAAACTGTCTCTTCTCCTTCACCATCTGTATGAACTCCTACAGAAATCACAGAATTAAATTCCATGTACTGTCTCATTACCTCTCTTACTCTTTCTTTTGCTAAATTCTACCTCATCCTCTGACTGAACATATAACCTGTCACCCATAGTTTCATCATTTTCTAATTGAACTTTGCATAAACATAATTATAACATTATAATCA